CCAAAAAGGGGCCGAATGGGGCTCATAGAGGCAGTGGCCTCGCATTCCCTCCTCCTTAGCTTCAACAGTCCTCTGAGAAGCTCAGTCTTCGACCATCGGGCGCTTTCCTTTCTGCAGAGATTTCTCGTAATGAGCCACAACTTGAGGAGCGGTCTGCATAAGTTCTTCCCTGGTGAACCAGCGGTCCTCCTTAGGATCAGTATGATGTCGAAACCGAACGCGGTACTGCAGCTTCGGTTTCGGAGGACGTCCCCTGCCTGTTGGTCTTGAACCTGGAAGCTCTCTGTGGTCCACGATATCATCGATATCCACCTCTCCATCCATGGTTGGGGGCAGCATTGAACGACGAGATGGAAAGTGATCTGTTTCTTTGAAAGGTGCAAGCTTGGAGGCGTGAAAGACAGGGTAAGTACGGAGATGACCAGGGATCCGGATTACATAAGATGGCCCATCTGGATCAGTCCCGACAATATCWWAGACTTCCCATGGCCCAAAGTACTGTGGCATGAGTTTGCGGGAAATCTCRTACTCCTGTCCTAGTTCTGAGGACTTTACCCARACTCTGTCYCGAACCTGAAACGTAGAATGTCGGCGGTGTCTATTCTCAGACTCTATCATTGCTGCCTGTGCCTTCTGCATCTGTTCTACCGCCTGCTGCATCTTCTGTTCATACCTGTAGGCAAACTCTAAAGTACCTGGTGCAGCAGTTGATTGATTCTCAGGAAGGAGAAAGTCTAAGGGTAGTCTAGGCTTGAAAGTCAATAGCAAACTGTGTGGGCTCACCCCGGTGGCGCTGTGTACAGCATTGTTGTACAGACTGGCGATGAGAGCAAGCTTCTCATCCCAGTCCACCTGGTTGGGTTTGATGTAATGCCTCAACAGGTGTTGTACAACGCGATTCAGTTGCTCGGCCTGACCGTTGGCCTCTGGGTGATTTCCAGAAGTCATCTGCAACTGGGTTCCCTGCTCTGCAGCAGCGGCATTCCACAATTCGCTAGTGAAGCGGGGATCTCTGTTGCTCACTATGGATTTGGGCAATCCAAAAGCCCTGACCCAGTTCTCTTTGAACAATCTGATTACGTACTCGGTCTTCGCAGTTTCCGGCATAGCTACTAATCTAGCATACTTACTTAATCTATCCACAATGACGAAAATGTGTCTCATCCCACTCTTGCTGGTAACCAGCGTATCCATGAAGTCCATGGACAAACTCTCACCGGGCCTTTCCGGAATTGGAAGGGGCTTCAGGAGCCCAAGAGGAGCCTGAGTACGTGGCTTGTCTCTCTGACAGACCTGACAAGTCTCCATGTACAATTGGGCATCTTTCATCATTGTGGGCCACCAAAACCGCTACAGCAAGTTAGCTACGGTCTTCTTGTACCCAAAATGGCCGGTGGCATCATGACACTTGCCTAAAAATAAACTATGCAAAGACTCCCTATTAGGAACACACAAACGTTTATCCCCAACCTTCTCAAGGAAAAGCAAGCCCTTGACCAACTCAAACTAGGCAGAAGCTCCTTTGTCCTTTGCCTCGAGTCTCTGGATGATCTCAGACATGAACGGATCCTCACGATAGGCTTCCACCAAGGACTGAGTAACATTGTTCGCAAGATCGAACTCAGTAATCAGCGCACCTGAGAAATCCGGTCCACGCGACAAGGCATCAACAACCTTGTTGTACTCCCCTTTCAGATACTGCGGGTCAAAGTCATACTGCTCAATGACTTCGATCCAACGCTTGAGAGCGTCAGAGAGTACCGGCTGAGTTCTCATCCATCTCAGGGTCTGATGATCAGTCCTCAAAGTCATACTGCTCAATGACTTCGATCCAACGCTTGAGAGCGTCAGAGAGTACCGGCTGAGTTCTCATCCATCTCAGGGTCTGATGATCAGCCCTGAGGATGAAGAACCTCCCAAGGAGATAGTGCCTCCGATGGGTCAGAGCCTTGTAAACCGCATAGAGTTCCTTCTCATAGGTGGACTTAGCCATCTTCTGAGACGACATTTTCTTGGACATGTACTCAACAGGCCTCAACTTTGGCCCCTCCTGCTGCGCAAGCACGACGCCAATGCCATATTGGCTGGCATACGTGGTGACTATAAACGACTTATCAGGATCGGGAAGTTTTAAGACCTCGTAAAGCATCAACGCATGCTTCAGATGTCTGAAAGCAGCCTCGCACTCGTCTGTCCACTCCCATGGGGTGTCAAGGCGGGTCAGATCAGTCAAAGGGACGGCCACTATGCTATAGTTCTTAACGAAAGTCCTATAGTAGCCTGTCATCCCTAAGAAAGATCTAGTCTCAGTCACAGACTGCGGACGTGGCCAATCACGAATACTGGCCACCTTCGCGTCATCGGGCTTCAACCCTTCCGCGGATATCTCATGACCCAAGTACAAGACACGGGTGCGGGCAAACTCGCACTTCTCACCGTTGATCTTGAACTTGTGCTGTTGTTGGAGACTGAGGACTTTGTCCAGGTGGGCAACGTGCTCCTCGACAGTCTTACTAAGTATGTCATTGAGGTACACGATGACAAACTTATCCAAGTAGTCATGGAATATCCGATTCATAGCATGCTGAAAGGTGCCAGGAGCATTGCAAAGGCCAAAAGGGATCACCACAAAGTCGTGCATACCGTACCTGGTCTGAAAAGCGGTTTTGTGCTCATCCTCGGGCCGGATTGCAATCTGATGGTACCCGGACTTCAGATCTATCTTACTGAAGTACCGACACCCTTGCACTCTATCTAACCAATCATCGATGCGTGGTAGGGGCTCTCTGTTCTTGACAGTGATGGCATTGAGGCCCTTATAGTCAATGCACATCCTAAGTGTCCCTTCCTTTTTCTTAGGCACGAATACTAATGGAGACCCATAAGGAGAGACACTCGGTCGGATCCAACCCTTCTCTACGAGTTCCTTGAGTTGTCGACGAAGCTAAGCGAGCTCACCTGGAGACATCCAATTGATCCTACCCTTCAGGATGCTAGACCCTGGGATAATCTCTATCGCGTAGATGACCTCCCTCTCTACAACCCCTGTCGGCTCTTCAAATAGATCAGGGTACTTGGCAACCACTCCCTCTATCTCCGACGACATTTTCACCGGCTCGCCTGCAGCAAAGACATGAACTAGGTACATACCCTCCTCCTGATTTCGCTTATAATAATTGTAGAACGCGGCCGCACACATTCATCCATGGGACTGGATCAGACTACTAGCTTTGAACTTGTGCAATCTGGCGGTCCCTCCACCTGACAAAGTGTGTTTGACCACTTTTCGGTCCCACTCAGACTGGGGCTGTGCCACAGAGAGGTAGTACATTCCTAACAACATATCCATGGGGAGTTCGTCACTCACTAGGAACGAGACACGATGTCTCAATTCCCCTCCCTCGTACGGGAAACAACACTCAACATCTTGGAGGTAGTCGTTGACTACCATGTATTGTTTGTTGGCACAAGTCGACTCCACAGGTCGACTCAGGCGCTGCACTCGGCCTTGTAAACGCAGCCTCTCAACGCACGCACGACTGATAAAGTTCCTAGTCGAGCAAGTGTTATGATGGCCCCGGCCTTGCGGCCGCCAATGACCACCTCGTTGACGAACATCTCACCCTTCGGGGCTTTGACTAGGGCCGTCCAAGAAGCTAGCGGGTCTGATCTAGACCACTCCTCCTCTAGCTCCTCTAAGGACTCAAACACATTCATCGAACAAAGGCTCGATGGGTCTGAACGTGTTTGCGGGACGACGCTGGAGTCAGTAGCTTAGGCCATCTCTCGAGATGGTGAGGGTGTCTCCACCACCTCGACCCTAGTAGGAACAACTACTATTCCTACTGGCCCGACGTGTTTCCCGGAGCAGTACCTGAAGTGCTGGCAGCATTGCTACCAACGGGATGGGAGGATCCCAACACCTACCCCATCGTAGGAGGGATCTTATCGGTCACCTTCTTGTTACGACACTTGAATTGATTATGGCCGTATTGACCACAACGAATGCAAGCCTGCCTTGTGTACCGATCTCTCCACACGTCCTCTGTGAGACCCGCCTTCTCCCATGGGGGAGCGTTGGGGTCAACTTGACTCCTTGACCGGGAGCCTCCGCGGCGTCTATCGGTCGCATTTCCTTTTTGAGCTACGGCAGCGACAACTCCACCCCCTGAAACTTCAACGTTGCCAGCCTCTGAACCTATTCCCTCTTGGAAGTTGTCGTCTAATTCGATGGTGGAACCATCGTTATCGACAAACATTATGTGCCCCTTCGCCTTCCAGTTGGGAGGCAGTGACTTTTTCCTACCATCCGTAGTGGGTGCCTGCCCATGCCCTACCTAGGGCCTTCTTGCTAAACGAGGGGAAGTTGTGAACATGGATGTTGGCCTCACCTGCCAACTGATTCCTGAGAGGCATAGGAAAGCATCTCAGGTAGGAGGTGAGTAAAACCTGGGGGTCATAGCGCACCCCAGGGACACAGATCAGACGCTCTACAACGTCGGTGGCCTCCCTTATTGACTTAAACTGCCTTGTGTGCAGTGTCAAGATCGCATCAGTGGCCTTTTGGGCCTCCTGAGGATCATGCCACCTTTCTTCCACCAGCTTAAGGAAGTCATCCAATTGTTGGGTGACCGCCCAAGCGCGGAAGTCATGATCGTACCGCTGTAGTTGCACTAAACCGCTCAACCATCGTGCTGCACTACCCTCTAGATAGGATGCAGCCACAAGCACTTCCTCTTGCGGCAAGGTAAGCTTACACTTGACATAGACCGGCACTGCCCTCAACCATGTGTCGAGGTCTTCGCCCCTCTTATCCCCTGTGAAGGGTTTAGGAGCAGTGATGGCCGTATTTGTTACCCACTGTGTTTGTCCCGGTCCGTGCATCCCACTGGTTTGTGGACCCTGTGATACAGGCGGCTGCACTTGTTGCAGGGGTTGTGTACCCTGCGGCTGTACAGGCTGCGAGACAACAGGTTGCGTTGTAACTGCAATCTGCAACGGTGGTTGGGAGTGCACTGGCTGTACTGGAACTTGCAGACTACGACCTGCTAATAACCCTCCTGATAGCGGCACGCCCAGGGAAACGATAGCGACCGATGATGGGGCTACATATGGGGATACCCCTGTTACCGGTGGGACAAAAGGAGGAGGATGTGCGACGGGCCAGGCACCTGGCCCGGATGGTGATGGCGTCGTTTGCATCCGCCCCACTAATACAACCAGACTCTGTTGGATGTCCTGTAAGATCTCCATTTGGTGATCTTGCATCAACTACACTTAGCAAGACCGACCGTATGGTCCTCACATCATCATCCATCTCTTCAGGGTCCATCTCCTCTAACTCACTAACGTCCGCTTGTCTTCGCTGCATCCTGGCTCTTCTTCCAATCGTCATTTCTTTTTCTGCCTTAATCTCTCTCAAAGCCTGCTGTAGCTTTGCCTCGCGATCAGCTGCTCGTTGTATGGCGACCTCCTCGGGAGTCATCACTAATGGCTGGCTTGCCATAACGCCAGCGGACTGACTCAAAGCTTGCGCTACCGTTGACCTTATAGAGTCAGTTGACCCTACAAAGCCTGTTGACCCTGCAAAGCTTGTTGACCCTACGGAGCCTGAACTACCTGCCGGAGAGGTCTGATGTGCAGAGGTAGCCATTGCCTCCGAAGCTGTGGTTTCGCTTATGAGCGCCCTGCTAGCCTCCGCTGCTCTAGCCCTCCTCTGCTGCTGCTGCCTCTCCCTAAGATGGCAGAACAGATGTCGGTCGCCCTTTGGACCTAAAGCCAAGTGGGCGATCGGACGTCTACGTGAACGCAATAGCCGGTCGTTCTCTCCAGTGTCCTCCCTGTCGCTCATAAGCTACAACACTGCACACAATCTGCACTAGTGCACTCTGGATGCCTACCACAATGTAATGCACAAACCAATTTAAAATAAATAACTAATTTATTGGTGGCTGTGTCAGAGACTCTACATTCGGGCCCAACAGGTAAGTCAGATTCCTACAAATGATACTATTTTTAGTCTGATTAGTCCACAAACAAAATGCACAACGAAGTTGAATGAACAAAGACAGTTCTAATTATGCTGTTTGTCAGATGTCAAATGGCTGTATATCTAACTAATCAAACATAAAAATAGAATCATTTGTGTGGATAGGACAGTATGGAATTTTTCTCAAACTTGTCACCTAAAATCTACCTCTCCCTTAGTTCCCCTGAATGTCACTTGACGTCAGCGTCCCTGAGCAATCCGGAGAGCGTTGCGTCTCTAAAAGGTGTGTGTTCGGCCCACCCCTGTGCCCCGAGTATGTGTTGAGCTGGCCAGCCCTGCACTGGATTATCCTCGCGTGCAGCGAGCCTTACAACCATTGGCTGATCCAGAGGCAATTTAACGACCGCCCCCAAGTGTCTCCAGGAATTATTTTACGTCGCAGCCGGACGACGATCACAGCCAACGGTTTCCCCTTCTGGTACTTATTTAAAGACGTCCGGTCTCGTCTCCCACTTAGGGTTGGCCTGCCCTTCAGTACCCATCTAACAGCGCAGCAAGCCAAACAAAGGACAAGCAACAAAGCATGCGTGCTCTACTCCCGGTGGGTCGGCATGGTGACCGTGACCCAGTGCTTCGTCCAGGGCCCTTCAGAAAGCTCCGCCTATCTTCTCCCAGATGCTCCACGTGAACATTGCCGACTCTCAAGGTTGAGCGCACTCAACACCTCACAATGAGAGGACTCTCAAGAAGGAACAGACAACCTCATTGTAAGAAGTGTCGAAGAGGGTAGATAAGGCTAAGAGCAACGTACCTCAAATAGCTGCCACCAACCACAGAGATAATCTCACCAGATGACCATTTGCCGATTGTGATGACCAATCATTGCTTCGGCACAACCAGCATTGCACGCCGTTCCACCTCAGCACCAATCGCACATCCGATAGTTCTCATCACACTGTTCAGACCCACATTACACCACGTAGCCTTCCTGGCGATCCCCTCACCTCCTGGGTCACCACTCACTTGTCTCCGCACTCCTCACTACACACCAGTTACGACCCAACTCACCAAGCAGACCGCATGTATGTACCGCATTAGGCAGAAGACAAGCGCCAGATGAGCGCAATTGTACCACAGCTCCGATACCAAATTCCAAGGAAGATGAGCAATAGCGAACTTCAACAATCAAACAGCATCATATACACAAGACCAGATAGTCGTGACCTCGAACCAACAGCAGAATTGCATCACGAGTTTCACCAAATAAGAA